GGGGGGGGGGGGGGGGGGGGGGGGGGGGGGGGGGATAGTTATAGATTTTTTATTGGACAGTAACCCAACCCCACTTGTGCGCCTTTTGCACCTGCGACAGCTGTCAATTGAAATTCTATCATCATTATTTAATATAAAGCCTGCGACCATCGAAGCAATCACCAATAATAAGGCCTAACAGCTTTTGGAATAATGGTCGACATTTTTATCTGGCAGCTCTCATATTTCCGTTTACTCAAATAATCCTTCAAAGGTGGCAACGCCCGCAACGTGGTGATTTCGTACTATTGTACAATAGACATCAATTTGACAGAAATCTCAAGAAAACAACCAGAAAAAAATTGTCTTTGATTAAATTCGATCAGCATTTATTCGTTGACGTGCCGCACAATGTTTTCCAACCCACTCTCTTCCAGATCGCGTGAAATGTTGATTAAATGCACTAATTCTAGTTACTTATGGCTCCATCACTGTATATTGAACCTTGGTTTGCTTAATGGTGCCAACTTCCCTGTGTTGTACAAGGAATCGCAGGCAAATGTGCATGTCAATTGTCACTTAGTTTATGTTTATAGGAATTAAACTTAAATGCAATCCAACGAAATCAATCCTCGTGGTCACATCTTATCAAAACCAAACGNACATGAAGCCAAATGGTAATCAAATTTTCTACATGTCCATGCTATTTATAGTCAATAATCAAAAATTGGTGATAATTATTCTGTAATTTATTATGTAATGTTACATCAAAATTGACAAAAATCTTTTTGCACTGCTACTACAAACATTATGAAAAGAAAACTATGTTACTTATTATTATTTTCAACTTACAATTATGATTTGTAGGATTGGCATGCAGTTCAAATTAGAAAGCCAGCTCAAATGGGTTATCATTTATTATTGAATTTAAGCAGTTTTATGTGAAATTTTCATTTTTCTCATTCTGGCATTTTCAAAGTGTGAACTTAAACTCCCATGGGCCTGAAGCCTTACGCTTGTTACACATTTCACTTACAATTGGTATTACCTGTTGAGCATAATTAAAATTTGATGTTGAATTTGCAGTTAAGCATAATGTACTTTTGCATCAGAATTGACAGTAGCCTGTTTTGTGCATTGTTATTGTCTGCTTTTTGTCTGTACATTTGACAGCTTTGCTGCCTTGTTTTAATATTCACGGAGTCTGGGAAATTGGGAACATGTTCATTTTAAACTTGTAAAAATGTTTGCTCGTGAAAATTTTTGATGAGAGAGAGAGAGAGAGAGAGAGAGAGAGAGAGGACCTAATCCAATTGATTAGACTAAATTAATTTTCTTTCATTGTATTTTCGGTTTCTGAAAATGTACTTTATTTTGGCTTTTCTTCGAGTAAACATCTCTTACAGTGAAAGCGATACAGATATTAGCAGCTTTGGATTGCATGTCGTCCTTGAAAAACGCCGACGGACAACAATATATGGGACTTAATGGTACATTACGGGTTTATTATCGCCAACAGGGGCGGAGAGAGGCCGTCTTCTAGGTTTTCCGGAAGACGGTCAGAATTTTTCAAGTTACGCTGACAGGCATGACGTTTATCTGTTGGATGACGGTCAGAAATAGAGGCTTAATCAACAAAGACAATTTGGAAGACTGTCGGAAAATATCTCTAGATCCGCCCCTGCCTGGATTCCAAATGACGAAAATGAGTTTTTCATGCACCTAATTACCCAATAATTCATGTAACTTTGTCCTGATTTTAAACAATAAAAATCCCCTTGAAACATATAAAATATCGTTGTTGATATTAGCAACCTACTCGTTGCCATGAATATATGCATAGGACACTCAGGGCAATTATCGTCAATTTAACAGATTGCTGTTTGAACGAGCAATGCATTGATATGGGACGTAACCTCATCCCTGAACAAGATTTTATCACGAAAATTAGCACAGACTATTGTTATGGAGTGATGAGCCCCTAATTGCAGATTTTTATTAAACAAAGGCATTATTTTGTACTGTCAAAGATGAAATCTGAACTAAGGCTTTTAAGAAAAACCGCTGACAGGATTTTGGAGTAAGTTAAATGGTTCCAATAGGTCGGCGTTGCAACGGCGATCGTGGGTACTGAGGTAGCCCTACTAAAGCAGAAATCTGAGAAACCGATTGTCCATTTAACCCCAAAATCGCAATTATGGCGTCACCTGTAAGATGACACGTGTGTAAATGTTAAATAATCAAGTCACTGAACAGTTACTGTTATCCAAAAGAATGTGTGTAGGGTGGGGGAAAAAACCTGGGTTTTCAGCAGAAACCAGGTTTTTCGTGGCGGATTTGCACCCCACCTTTAATAATTACGTCTTTTTTTCAGTTAATTTTCATTGTGTTATTATAATTTATTAGCCTTATCGCATAATTATTTTTACTTTCCCCATGACAAATATCCCGGTGACTCCCTTCGCAACAAACAGTTTTCATGCCCTAATTATTAAACAGAGCAAACAATTGTCTCTATTTCTGTAGAATTATAAATAAGGAGTTTTTGGCAAATGCTTACAGTATCATTTGTTTGGTATAAAAGCATCGATTGATGATGCTGATTTGTTAAAACACGGGGATTACAACAATGCTATATAGTAGACCTAATATATAGCCAATAGAGTTATTCCCTACCATCTATGATTTGATTTTCTATGATTTGATTTTCATATATACCTATTAAGCGCACGAAATCCCAGCGTGATTTTGAAGTTGTTTGCTTCTAATTAGTCTATGGCTCTATTCCCATAGATTTTAGATCGATCTATCCCTGCGGGGAGTCTCACTAGATTACTTTCAGATAGTCCGACTTAAATGTCCGTCTCGCCAACTACAAGCTGTAAGTGGGTAATTAACTTTCGTGTCCGCCCGGCTGAGCGTGAACCCCCAGGGAGTTAGGTCGATCTAAAGTAGGTCGATCTAATCTATGGAAATGGGGTGTAATTAAAATTACACCCCATTTCCATAGATTAGATCGACCTACCAAATAAAATACACCAGTTGGTAGGCCTACATGGTAGGCCTACTATTCGCCGATTTCTAGTGCTAAATAAACATTACACTCGTTTAATTTGACACAGATAGGCCCCTAAATCAACATTTATGCGGGTGAGTGAAAATGCTAAGGTTATTTAATTCATTCACTATAGATAACATTTGGCTAATTTACTTTGAAAAATACACTGCAGTCCACCTTCCTCCAGGTTGCCTCACTTCGAAATAAGGGGATTTAACTTTAGACTAGCGTAAAAATGAAGTGACTACCCCAGAGCGCGGTTTTAATGCGGAGAGCTCTTCCTCCCGCGAACCCGAAACTTTCAGCCAATTACCGCGCTTTGTTTACGTCACGTGACCTTTGATCGCGGGAAAATCCACATTGCTTTGTTTACAGGTTCGAGTGAAGAAATATACTACTCGACATATTTAGTATGAATACGACATCAATTTCCTTTATCGTGATATATTTAGCAGGATAATATAAGCCTGCTCAAGATGGAGAACTTTCAAAAGATCGAAAAGATCGGAGAAGGGACGTATGGAGTTGTTTTTAAAGCCAAGGACAAGTTGACAGGGCAGACGGTGGCCTTGAAGAAGATCCGTCTCGATGCGTAAGCGAAACAAGTGAAAAATAATGGCACTTTTCATTCACAGATATTGTTTATTGGGTGCAGTTTTTTAAACAGTAGGCTTAAGATCAGATCTGCATAGTTTGGGTTGTTTTCGGTGCTATGCTTGGGGTCGTTTTATGTTACGCTTCATCTCTCTCTCTCTCTCTCTCTCTCTCTCTCTCTCTCTCACGCACACACACACACATTCATTCATACACAACCGCTGAAACAGTTGTTCATTCTTGGGTTATATATATCATGTATCACGGCTTCATTATTATTTCCAGGGAGTCAGAGGGTGTCCCAAGCACAGCCATCAGGGAAATCTCCCTCCTTAAGGAGCTGGACCATCCCAATGTTGTAAGGTAAAATACTAAAGCAAAAGACTAGTAGAAAAAGGACTAGTATATAACTAATGGGATCATGCCCGCATTTCCCATTCAGTTTACATAAAGTGACTAATATCAAGATGAAGTAATGTTTGAGGCATGTGTGAAATAATTTACACATCAGATTACACCATTGATTTGATTTTTCTTGTCACCTTCCAAAGAGTAACGAGCTAGTACTGTAAGGAGAGAATGACCTGTTATTAATAAACATTGTTTTTTGTCACCTTCTAGTAAAGAGCTATAAAGTAGAGCATGGGCTGTAATTGTTGATTGGGTCTGTAACAGTGCTCTCCAGATTGCAATGCAAATGTAAAAGTTTCGGAAATCATGCACTGTGTATGCTGGAATTTTTTGGCACTTGGAGATCAAATACCAAGCTGGCAGACACACAGGCACATACACGGAAAATAATAATAACAATAATAATAATTGAAAGTGAATAAAGAATAATGTTTAATAAGATGATTTCATCAAATAATACAACTTTCCATCTTTTTTGCAGACTACTAGATGTCGTTCACAGTGAGTTAAAGCTATATCTGGTTTTTGAATACCTAAATCAAGACTTAAAGAAGTACATGGATTCTGCTCCTCCGCCAGGAATTCCCCCGTCACTCGTCAAGGTCAGTACCATTATTAGGATGGGTTCTCATCAGAACGAACTTAGCCTGGAAGTAGACAAATGCCTTCATATTTGAGTAATGAAACTTTTAGTAATGTCAGGTATTCTTGTGTAACAATTATTTTTATTTCTAACCTCTCTTTCATATAAATGTTTCACCATAGAAGTGTAAGATCTCAACCAAATCGTCCCTCTTCCACACTTGTGTCAAAAAAAAAAAAAAAAGTAAATAAATAGAAATGAAAAAAAGGAAAAGAAAAGAGATAATAGGAAAAAATCACAAAACAGTTGAGGTAGTATAAATTCCTTCAGTTCACAACAATATATTTCTGTTTTCAGAGTTACTTATTCCAGCTCCTCCAAGGCATCGCTTACTGTCACTCACACAGAGTTCTCCACAGAGACATTAAGCCACAGAATCTCCTCATAGATGCCGTGGGGAATATCAAGCTTGCGGACTTTGGTCTGGCCAGAGCATTTGGGGTGCCGGTCAGGACGTATACTCACGAGGTCGGTGGAACAGTTTCATTGATGTGATTTTTATGTACAGACACAGATGTGTCTGTACATATTGCCATCACCTGCGTCTGTCGTCGCCGTCGCCGTCGCCGATCATGTCGCCGTCGCCGTCGCCGTGCACTTTCAGCGTTAACACCATAAGTGGAAGACAGTTTTACTTTTTGGCTTTATATTTACAGAGCTGACTAATTTTCATAAAACGCAGGTCAAGTTCGAAAATCAGCATCATCGGGCCATTATTGTAGAATTTATGCTGTTTTTTCACTTTTTAGCATATATGCAACACTGTTAACACATTTCAAAGAAAACCGATAGGCCTGTTGTCATGAAACTCACAGGAGTTATCAATCTTACTTAAATGCAGGTCAAGTTCGAAAATCGGCATGATCGGGCCACTATTTTAGTAGTTATGCTGTTTTTTTCACTTTTCAGCATATGTGCAACACTGTTAACACATTTCAAGGAAAACCGATAGACCTGTTGTCATGAAACTCACAGGAGTAATCAATCTTACTAAAACGCAGGCCAAGTTCGAAAATCAGCATAATTGGGCCATTATTTTATAAGTTATGCTGTTTTTTCACATTTCCTCAGATTCAATTCTTAGGCATGTTAACAGTCTCATTATTTAACTAATAAGATTAGTAAAAGTGTTTGTTTGACATTTCCTGCATCTTAACAACATTGTTAGTTGATTATGTAAAAAT